GATGTTATTGAAATTGTTCCACTCCTACAGGAAAGTGTTGATTTCTTACCTTCACTAATAACTTAACTCGTGTGTACTACCTAACTATGAATTGCTGGAAAAATTTTCTAAAGCAGTCTTAAATAAAATCATTATCATCATCATCATCATCATCATCATCAATGATCTTTTAATGTCGGTATATTTCCGCTAGGGATTCGTGCTCAGTTTTTGTCACCCTGATTCAATGTATCAGCCTCCAGGGTTTAATTTTGGCACTCCTTCGCCTCACAGTCCACCCATTCATAGCGGTTAGAATAAGCACAGTCACCAAAGATCCGAGCCCGTGGAGGCACTTAGAACTGTTGGAGAGAAAAGGCAGCGAGCAGGGGACACACATATTGTAGTCCGCGGACCAGTTGATGGCGGTTAATTCCCCTGTCCGCAGGCAGATTACCAACTCGTAACATCGCCCTCTCTACTTCTAACTAGAACGGGGGAAGGGGCAGATAGGAAGGGATATTTCTTTAATGATACATGGCGGTTTCGAAAAGCCCCAACTACACCACTACACACAAGCTAACAAACATTCATGCCCGAGGTGGGATTCGGAGCCACGACCTTCCGGGTTGAGACGTCCAAGGCGCGTCTGCTACAGCCTCGGCAACTCAGAACGACTAAGAAAAGTCTTTCTAATCGCTAGTCTCAAAAAAATGTACAGAAGCAATGTTAATTTTGTCTTTTGTAGATGCCTTTTACTGAGTGAATTCCTTGTCCCAGCTAGACTATCTACGAGGGAAAATAAAAATATCAGAATACAGCCTGTAAGTAACAGCTTGGGATTTCCCTCTTTACCATAAGCAACAACGTGACTGTGATTCGTGACATGTGTGTACATGCCTATTTTGGAACAAAAACACTAACAATATCATGTACTCTTGTTGTAAATATATGCTATCTAGAAATTTCAACTCAGAACGACGTTGGGTACTTAATATCACCGTTCAAAATTACGCTGTGACAATAATGTGATAGGACACAGCAAAAGTTTCATTCACTAAAATTCCTAATATTCACTAAAATATTCAATACCGACGGTATCTACATTTAAAAGACATTTTAACTTAATTATATGTGTAACCATTGATTCGTTCACGTAAAGTTAATCATTAGGTGGAAATAAGGTAGCGAATCCGAAATGTCACAGCACCGTATCTTCAAATAGTACAAAATTTAAACTTGAATACGACTTATTTATATAAATAGTTAAAGTACGCAAATGAGACAGAATCAACTTTGTGTGACTGAGAATATAACAACAAATTGTGGCCACAGGAATTAAAATGAGAAGATATCATTTCATTACTAAAAATGTACCACATCAAAAGTAATGGTTATCCCGCAACAAACCTACATTATACTGCACCATCACTGGTTCTTAAAATTTGAATTAGTTTATATGTAGGCCTGGTTGTCTCGGCAGCTTAGTAGTTAAAGAAGCTGGGTGTAAACCAAAAGGTCCTGGTTCAAATCCCAGTCGGGGCAATCAATTCTTTTAACAAATTTAATTTGAATTAAGAGACTTTCACAGGATTAAGGATACGAGTTTTCCCCAGTATTCTCGGGGTTCGATATAACGATATTTAGAGAATATATAATCCCATATGATATATACAAAAGAAAAAATGATATGGAATTAAGGACTGGATACATAAAAGCATTCAAAGTTATCGAAGCACGCAGTTGGGCAGCGCGTGATGTTAGGGCTCGCAAGGGCGACGGAAGAAACCACTGGAACGCGACCCCGAGGCGAGTTGCTGCTTGTGGCGTAGTCGCACGTATTTAAGGAGCCACGGGAACCGGAGTAGACTTGTTTTGTGAGTACACTCCGGAGTATTAGTAGTTGTATACATCAAGTCTGTTTACGCCTTCTCGGTCCACTACTGTATATCTACATGATCGTTGGTGACTTCCGCTAAGAACGACTAAGAGCTTTCGACTACTGGTGTTTCTCCTGGTTATATTTCAAATGACATTATTGGTACGACTTGAAACTTAGGAATTGTATAAAGCGCGTAATAAACATTGTTAATTGTTTATTTACCGCCATGAACTAATTATTTGCTTCTTGTTTTTACGCTAAAGAACATCACTAACTTGCATCCGTAATAAATGAAGGTAATAATCTACTCCATCTTTTTTTCTGATTCCTCTAGGAGTCAATACGCACAGTAAAATGTAATACATGAGCCTTCATAAGTCATACAAGAATGGAAAAAACCTCAATCTCTCGGACTTGGTAGTCATGTTTGTCCCAAAGATTTTTTATTTGTGTTCTTCAGTAACTAAAAAAAGATCATCCTTCTGTTCTAAAATCAATGTAATAAGTTCTTACCGTTGATGAGACTTAATATCCCATTACTATTTCAATTGATTGGTCAGTACCCATTATTATTATTATTATTATTATTATTATTATTATTATTATTATTATTTTGTTTATTCTCAAAGTTTTTGGCTTCACATGGATACCACACAGATACAATACCAAACCATGGTAACACAGACATATTTAAAATCTACAAACAAATTAAGGCATTCTAACACATAAACATAAAATAACTGTTTTCAGATTGTAAACATAAAATAACAGTTTTCAAATGCTAATAACATATACAATTTCAAAAATGAGCTTTCAAGACCCAACATGTCCTCCCATGAATCTCCTGACTAGTGAGCAGGTGCTGATTATAACAGACTTGTGGAGGCCAATGATAATGCTCTTCTCCAAGCAGAGTTATTGCAGCGATCTGCAGAGAGTTTTTGGTATCTGTTGCTGATAGTACAATTGGGATAGTTTTCACTTCTGACACTCGCCATTGTTTTTTTACGGCAAATGCTAGTTCTCTGTATTGGTCGATTTTAGTCTGGTAAGTTATCATCTTGCTGGTATTGACGACTGCAACATCAATAAACCAAACTTTCTTTGCAGATTTGTCCCAAAGAGTAATATCAGGTCTGTTGTGCTGAATTGTCCTGTCTGTCAGAATACTGCGGTCCCAGTATAATTTATGTCTCATTTTCTAGTACCGCTTCTGGATGATACTGGTAGTATGGTGCATCCACTTTCTGAGGGAGCCTGTGTTTTTTAGCTAGTTTGGAATGGATGAAGTGGCTCACTTGATCGTGTCTCACTTTATAGTCAGTGGGAGCTACACAGCTACATCCTGATATAACATGCTGAATGGTTTCATGATCTCGACCACACATGCGACATTCATCAGTTAGTACTCCTGGGACTTTGATGATATATTTTAAGTAATTCTTTGTGGGAATCACCTGATCTTGTATTGCTATCATGAAACCTTCGCTCTCAGGGTACAAATATCCTATAGTGAGCCATTTGTACGACATTTCTTGGTCGACATTTGGATTGACTACTGCAGCAGGATATGCACCGTGGAGTGCTTTCTGTTTTCAGGAATCGATCTCTTGCTCCAAAGAGAGCAGATGAAATTGCCTATCTTGTTTTAGATTGAGGGGCGTTATTATATTATTATTATTATTATTATTATTATTATTATTATTATTATTATTATTATTATTATTACTGGAAGAGAAGAATCGTTCATGCTCACGGGAGAGATTCAAACCAATTATCTTCCCCATTCGCCGCCTGACGGGAATAATCGCTGTCCAAAAGTAACTACTATATCCGTATCTACAATTTTTCTTAAAACAGTCTACTTAAGTTTAGGACACGTGACAGATTTAACCGACCGATTTATTCGTTAACGGAAATGGGAAGGCTGTGGCTATAATCTGGATGGAACAATTGGGGAGGAAACACCCCATTCCCTGATGTTCTTCGGGATCCAGGTTGGTGGGAGCTGAAAATCTTTGTAACCTGCCAGCTGTAGACAGTTGGCATGTCGATCACGCCCCAACAAAGGTGCACTTTCGCCGAGAGAACGGCAAGAAACGAATGGGAGGTTGGTTGCGGAAGGCACAGCCAGTCTGTGTCCGGCGGTTAAAACTGAGTCCTTGTCCGCCGCAGAGATGCCATTGAAGCGCGCAAACATGCACGGATAAACTTGACACATTTTTTCTTTATTATGATGATTCTAACCCTTTCCGGCCACATTTGGGGTGAATGGTTCTTGGTCAGGTAATGTGAAATGATAATGTTGGTGGTAATGATGATAGAACAAAATGGATATGTGAGGCACGGAAACGGTAGGATCCTGGCAACTCCGTTTGCCCACGAAAAACTCCACATCAATCGATTACTCGTAGCAGCTGACCGTCTGAGGAGGATCAGGACATCAACTGAAGTCAATGCAGTGCCTCTAACCGGGAGATCCTAGAATTTGAGTCCCGAAGGTGGCAGAATTTTGGACACTAGCTAAATAGCTAGATCGAATTCAGCCACTGTCTGGAGGAGAATGCTAGCGATCGGTTGCTCTGATTGGTAGTTTTCCATTGTTCTTCCTATCAATACCAAACAAATGCCGAAGTACTGCCCTAACAAACAGCCCATGATATTTCCACGCGCGATATTTCCTTCCTCTTTCGTGTTTTAACCTCACCCCGTACGCACACTTCCACTTACATGCACTACAGTAACACATGTTTCGGAAGACGCGAGCTTAGGCCGTGTTCCGGCTGGATAGTGCCTCACTGATGGAAGATACGTGGATGGAAAGACTCACAAACCGGCGTGTAGGACAGCCCTGGATCTCGCCATCTAGCTGGAGAAGACCGCCACCCCCCGTGACAAAACATGCACTACGCTTACGGGACTAATGACCATAGCAATTGACACGTAATAATTAATCAACAAGCAGTTGATTTCCGGAACTCAATGTACGAAAACGGGCTTTTAGCGAATCATACTAAACGTTCAGTGAAGGGAGGGTTCTGACTGCTACCCCCACGGAACGCTCAAATCTGGCACAAATCCCTAACTCGTGTCACTGCCTTAGGCGTCTCTCAGTGCAGAATAGGATGCAGGTACTCACTCGCTCCAGTTGGCGGAGATGTTCGCGGGGTCCCAGCGGCGCACGCACTTGTTTCGCAGCTCCCCCATGTACACCTGCAGGGCGAACAGGGCGAACACCATCAGGCAGAAGATGGTGAGGGTCATAACCTCGGCGAGTTGTCGGAAGGAGTGCAACAATGCGTTGATGATAGTCTTGAGGCCTGTGAGAACAATGACAGAACTGGTGTCAAATGGGCAGAGAATTTGTCTTAGAAGATGAGTAAATACAAATTCATTTTTTACCTATTTAATTGAAAATATTATTCATGTACGTATTTCTTTGAAATCATTAGAACATTCTTGTAGTGTTCAAGGTAAAACACCACTGACGTTCTTATTTAAACAATGACACAATTCAGCAGTTTCTCAATATAAAAGCACTTCGTACGAATGTATTACATCACTATCAAGAAACAAGAATCGTTCGCAAATACAGCCCAAATTATAATATTTCTTCAGACGTTCGTGTTTAAAGAGAAATAAAAACAAAACTGACTCATGGAAAGAAAACATGTCAAAATGAATTAGGATTATTTTTCTGGATTAAGGTATGCCTCTTAATTCAAAAACAAATACGCGAAGGATTCACGTTCATAGGTGAAGTGAAGGTTTGTCGCACTATTATTTTACTAGCGAAGGTATTATACAATTTAATTATTCTAAATATTTTATTCTCATAACAATTGATATTGCAATTAAAAATCTGCAACAAAGGAGCTTTTTCCCGTATTAAGTTCGCAACAAATTTTCGGATGACAGATGACTAAATCCTAAATTATTGGTCTTCAAAATATGATTTTGCATTTTAAAAAATGTACTCATTTAAATTTGTATGATTTAAAACAAAAATATAGCAAAAATTGTGAAAGAAAGTTTTGTAGCATATTGTACCACTAACAAAAGATTAATATTTGGAATGAATAAATTGCTCAAAATTAGTTTAGAAGGTAGTAACTTTGAAGTATACAGAAATTTAAAAAAAGTGAATTATTTGCATTAAAGGAATTAAAATATTCAAATTCCCTGTCTAAATTTAGCTATTTTATTTTTATGGTTTAATATTTTCACAGTAATTTTTCACATTTCAGATGTTAAAACTTTTTACAGTATGCAAAAAAAGAAATTTAGAAATGTATTTTATAAAACGTTGAGGGGGAGATGAGGCGTGGCTGAAAATTTAGAAATATTACTCTATGGATACTCCACACGCGGTTTGGTTCAATACGTTTAGGATAATTTTTAATCTTCTCTCACTATAGCCTTGCCTAGCACTCTCACTATAGTAAACTTTCGTGAAAACACTTTTCCCATATTCAGTGGGTCTCTTGGAAGGAGACGAAAAATTAAAAAATTAACATGAAGGGGACAAAAAGAAATACAGTAAAATTGGGGGAAACAACAATTAAAATGAAATAAACAATCCATAAATGAAATTAAAAATACTTACTGACTAAGCAACGTGGGTCACATACAAACGTTCACAACATGGTGGGGTAAATACATAAAACTGAAAATTGCGATGGTACGGGTAGGTGGTAGCCATCTTGTGGAATGGAGAGGAGAGATAGGAGAGTGTGTGTGTGTGGCGGGGGGGGGATAACTTACGATAACAATTTCACCTTCAATTACTCAAAACCTAACTGCACTTTTGAAATGAACCCTAAATGCATTTTGTAGAACATTCTTGGACAATTGTAGACCACTGTACTGGAAGGTCTCATATGCTATATTTCACACAGATTGAAAAGTTTTAGATTTATATAAAAACAAAACTATCAAACATATTTTAAATAATAGAATTTAAAAATTTTAAAAGAACAACATAAATTATTCCCGACAAAACGCTATATAACCACTGTATATCAGTAAAAATCGGATCGAAATATGCTTTCTGTTTAGAAAAATACTACATAACAGTTATGTTGCTGTACTTAAAAACATATTCACCTGTCGTTTCTCTCAACTGTCGTGTAAGAATTATTCAATTTAGTGGAGTACATATATTCCTGTCCACTTCATTAATGCTCTGCTCATATGCATGTAACTAATGTTTATAATTTCATGTTTGAATAAAATTAAGTATTTGTGCTATGTTACAGCTGTAACTCATTATGAAGACATTAATTTTATATCAACTATTTATTAAATTCTGATCTGTTGCTGTTTGTCAGATAGATGTTATCCCAAAAGGAACGTCAATAGTAATATGTAAATTAAACGACTGAACGAAATTATGGCATTTCGAGTGTTTAGAAACTTGCTGAGCAAATCAATAGTAACTAAAACAGCCAAATGAAACAATGAAAAATTCAAATAAGAGAGCAACATCACTAGTGACTACAAGACTGAGCTCCAGAATTAGTTGAAATTGAGTTAGTTGGCTTGTGTTGCAGTTTTAATATTTTACATGCTCTTAAAAACTGACCACGAAAAATGCTCATTACTTTCTTACGTTCAAACCCACGGAAATTACTCTAGAAAACGGTCTATCCAGACCTCTGTGTCGGGTATATGGTAGCCTGTGAGCCTATTTAAGTACACCATTTCCATAAAAGTTGCATAAAGTATGCGATCCAATATCTCGAGCGTAAGCCTAACAGGATGAAATTGTTATTAATAAATGTAACTTCAATGTGCGAACGTATCGTTGAACTAGTTGGAGAAGAGTGGGGCAGCGTTTGTAATTATATCCAAAATACTTCCGTAATATCCAAAGTCTAGTTCATTTGTCGACGTAAATAATATTTCTACGAGTACTACTCGGGAGAGAATGTCTAGTTTTCAAATGTCAATAACATTTATTAGTACATTTACTTATTTAGGTGTAATGGTTAACCTCCTTATCTCATTAGAACATTTCGAACGAGGAATAAATACGTTTTATGCAAAGTTTACTAAGCTCTCTCAGTGAATATCTCCCGTATTTTGAAGTTATTTCGTTGAATTTTCAATCAAATATAAAGTATGCGATCCAATATCTCGAGCGTAAGCCCAACACGATGAAATTGTTATTAATAAATGTAACTTCACTGTGCGAACGTATACATCAATTAAATGCGTAAAATAATAATTCAACTAGATGTAGAGACAGTGTACTGTCTCCCGACGTTCGCCACATAATACCGGAACATAAGTTGCCACAATAGCGGGACGACACAATACCGCCACATAAATCGTCGATTTGCACCGCAGCATTACAGTACTTTCTCTTTATTGCGAAAAAATGGGTACGGCAAGAAAGTAAAAACATTATCTCACCAGCAATTGTAATATCTTTTTCTGGATAAATATAATATAATTACGTAGGAAGCTCGTTACGTAGAAACAATCTACGTAACGAACCATTCAGAATGCATGCTTAAGTGCGAATATCATCACGACACTCAAATATTTTTGTGTACAAAAACTCTTAGAAGATACATATTGTAACTGTGTTTATGATACTTAAATTTATGCCCGAAAACGACTACAAAAAGAAGAGTCCATAGATTATTAAAAAGTGTAATTTCGGAGTCAAAGTACTGCCATTAATGATGAAACATATTACAAGGAATTTGCTTAAGTTACGCTTTTCAAGAAACGCTTCAAAGGCAAAAATGCCTAATATAAAATTTATTCGTTCGTGTTTGGGATGGCTTCAGCTCATAGAAACTAGTAGTAAAATAAATATACAATGAAAACGTTTGAAGGTCAGTTCGTAAACATTATAGTGCATGCAGGGTATAGTTCATTTAAATTATGATTACATTCTCAAGTGAGATATCTAGAGCAAAATTGCATTGACGCGCAGGGAACGGAATGCAACCGCGCGTTTCTTTCAATAATGCTCTTCGATTTTTGAGGAAATTGTTAATAACAAAACAATATTTTAATTCAGCATTGCGACTGAAAATAAAATAAACAAGATGAAGTGCTTTAGCTTACATATAATATTAATATTTTTTGCTGATCTTGTCACAGATAAGATAGCAACAAGACTAACATTTCCTAGTAACGTGGATATTTCAATCCTACATAAGATCTAATTTTTTCCTACATACTGTGACGTGGAAAATAAGATACACTACGGGGTATTTAATTGAAATATCATTATAATTATAATTTGGTATATCATCTTCATTTTTTAAATAATGAAGACTATTAACAATAATTGTTTAGGAAGAAACAAGTATCAGTTCGTTGAGCTTAGAAATGAGCAGAAAAGCAGAATACGCCAGTCGAGGCGACTGGACGACACATTCTCTCTAATGGAACTAGTTGTAGTCATGCAAGAAGGAATTTATTCACAAGTGTACGGAACAACAATATTCCAAAACATTAAAAAATATTTCATACATCCTACATAATCATCAATTAAATACAACGAGTTGCAATTAATACTGATTAAAAATACCTCATTCCTTTCTACCGCCTACAAAATATTTCATGCTATGACGTAGAAGACAAAAATATTTAGTTAGTAAATGAAAACGTGTACTGCTGAAAAGCAAGTTCAATGGTTTTCAAAATATTAAAAACATTTACTACCTTAATCGCGAGCTCTCATGTTCTTAATTATTCCTGTTCCCATACCCTCGATTCCTACCGCCCTCCCTCCCCTAATTCCAGTTATTTACCCAGCAGAATGGAGTGCAAGCAGCGGTGGTGGCCGAGGGCTGTGGTGAGTGGATATCCACTGGGCACGCGATCTGCTAATATTCTGACCACAATTCCGCAACAGCGCTGAGATTATATTGGCAAGGGAACAGTGCCAGGACGGCAATTCCCTATTCCATACCGGCGACCCTCCGGATCTCTGGATCTCCATTCATCTTAATGTGCCATTCCATCACAGACTACACATCTGTTGGTGCATGGCTCGTACATGACCGTAGCATGACATAAAATAAATACTTTTAAACGAACCGTAAATATCTTAAATGGGATCTCCTCGCACCGTACGTGATGAAGGTGCTTATATTTTATTGGATGAGAAATTATATTAGTTTCAAGGAAAACAATTTTGAATATGCGTCTGGACTTCGAATTGTAACTGAATCATTCATTTAAAAATCCATTAAGATACATCATTCGCTGTTGTTTACACACTGAGCACATTAAAATAGACGTACTAAGAGCGTAGAACGATAATACAAAGAAGTGTTTTCTTCATATAGCCCAAACAAGCATAAAATGGAAGATATGTGGATGAAGTCAATACATCGATG